CGTAGCGTTTCCATAATTTTATTTAGCAGTTTGGGGGGCAGTGGCTATGGCTTTTTGTTCTAGGTCTTCCATGAAAAACTTGCACAGGGTGGCTGATAATGGGTTACCAATGGTGAAGCCTTCCAGTTGTTTGTATATTGTGTTATCGTATGTGAAGTAAGTGGAGTTAGCTACCAGTCCCATCAGTTGTTATAAGTCATCTGCTGTGAGGTTTGTTCTTTTGTGTAATGTTTTGTCCTGTCTGATTCTGTTAACTACTATGTCTATGATTATTTGGGTTGGTGTTTTTGTGAACAGGGATGTGACGTCATGTGAGATGAGTATGTCGTTGTCTTCTATTGTAATATTTTTTTAGTTCTTTTGTCAGTTCTATACTATAAAACATTCATAGGAGAAACCGGACGCCAACTCAACACACGAACAATAGAACATAGAAAGGAGTGTGAGAAAGAGGCAGGTCGAAAACACACAAAAGCAGCGAAAGAAGAAGCAGAAAGTACAATAAAGGAGTCAGCCGTAACAGATCACTGCATAAGAGAAAACCATATAATGGACTGGGACAACACAAGGATCATAAACACCGAACAACAGAAATACAAAAGATGGATAAAAGAAGCTATCAAGATATGGAGACGTGGATGTGGGACCATGAACAGAGACGATCGAGTTTACTCATTGGATCGCACATGGGACTGCATCATCGGAGAGGGGAAAGCGGGCAGCAGAGGGCGACAACATCCTCTGCTGCCCATGGACAAACGAAGGAAGTGACGCCACCATCGGCGTCAGCCTGATGATGTTTGCAGCCGCAAACGAGACGTTGCAGGTAATTAAACTTCTTCTGTGTTTTAAAAAGAACTGAAAGATGGAATTAGATTAATTCATCTTTTATTAAAACAGTTCAGGGTTTAAGTGGATCTCAGTAGAGAAGCTTACATCCATTTGACATCTTAAGTTTATGCCAAGCTATGTTGTGGCCTTGAATGTTTATTTTTATCTAGATTTATTAGAATAGGCATTAACTAATACTGGAGGTTTGTATCTTATATGAAGTGTTAATTAAAAATCTGTACCGTAAAACTGATTGCTTTCTAAACATCTGATTAAAAATCAAAGATGAATACAAATGTATTTATGTCCTGCTCTAACAGTGACCAGAACTTGATTTCAGTTCTTTTGGCTCTGCCTAGGGCTGAAACGAATACTCAAATAATTTGATTAAATTCATTTAAAAAATGAATAAATGTTCGACTTTGTTTACATTCACTTCTGGGTTATATAGTCTTCTTCTGGTGTGACCTTTTGGTTATTTAACGCAACAATTGTGTTTGTTCTGCTACTGCAACTCCAACTGTTCATACAGCTAGCAGAGCAAACAACAGGGCAAATGCTAAAGGGATGACGACACACAGAGAAAACCCAAAAAAGTTCCCAAAGCGTGGGAATATTTCAAACTCATGCCAACGGCTCTCTTTTTTGCGCTAAGCCAACATCGTGCTAAGCTAATGTCACGCTAAGCTAATGTTGTGCTACCCTAATGGCTTACAACAGCACTAAGTCCTAAGATCTCAGCACAAAGCATCCAGGTGTTTCAGGCATCAGCTGCAGCTCTATGTGTTTTAGAGTTCAAATGAAGACAAACGGAGTCTCGCCACATACTGTATGCTAACTGAGACTGAGAAATATTTAGCTGCTACCCATAAAATCCAACAAGTGTTTTGTCTTTTCGTGTTTTATTGCAAGTCAGCATGACAATGAGACAAAAATGTTTGTTTGTCAGCCTTGGTTTTGCAACATGTTTCTAATTTTCAGTTATATTTGTTTGTAAGATTGCAGTTTTATCTTTATTGTAGAAAGGAAAATTATATTTTATTTGATATTAACTGCTTTGGAGTTAATTAATTGTACTGTTAGCAAAGTAATCATCATTGTTAGCTGGTAAACTAATTCACTTTTCTCTATATTTCAGTAATCGGCTTCAATTGACAGACTGGTGCAGGCAAATGTGTTCTTCTCGGCAGAACATTCTGCTGAGGCCCTGTCCACACGTAGCCGGGGATCTGCCAAAACGTAGATATTTTTATACATTTTGGCCTGTCATCCACACGAAAACGGAGTTTTTTCACACGAAAACGGATCTTTTTAAAAACTCCAGCCAAAGTGAAGATCTGCGTTTTCTCCGTTTTGGGTGGCTGCGTGTGGATGGACAAAACCGGAGTTTTAAGGTCCGCAGCGTCACTTTCCACGACAAAAAAATGCTGACATCACGTGTGCGACCTGTGTTTACACTAGCCGACATCATGGAAGCCCTCAGAGCTGCGCTCTGTCACTACCCGATCCATCAATTGTCCAAGCGCTTGTTGCTTGTTTGTTTTTGCAAGCGGAATTACTGCTCCTTGCGGAAGACCACAGACGAAGGACGAGGTTAAGAACGGGGGAAGTACTGCCGCCTACAGGTCTGGCATGTCCTTAACAACATATTTATCCGGGTAAGTGTGGACAGAGTTTTTTTTTTAAACGAGGTGGTGTGGATGCAAGTTTTTGGAGGGGCGGATATTCGTTTTTAAAAAACCCCGGCTATGTGTGGACTAAGCCTCAAAAACAGCAGAAAAAAAGGAGCTGAATGAAATAAATGTTATAGAAATATACTGGTTGCCTTGTATTATTCTGTTTACATTTTAACCATATTTTGGAGCTAAAGAAACAAAGGATTATCTGATTATGTAATTGATTGATCGATCACTGTGGCAAAATAATCAATTACTAAAATAATCGATATCTGCAGTCCTAGCGCTGCCAAATTTCAGAGTTGGGTTAAAAAAATACTAGTTTTCTAGATTTCACTCTAATTAATTATTTGTGTTCTGGTAATTTCCATATTTTCCATATAAGATAGAGGAAAGAACTGGCCTAATCTTTATAATTTTTATATATTCTTATTCCTTGATTAAATTGTAGAAACCATTTATTAAAATGTCCACAAAGTTATATGCGTAAAGAAATATTTGCATCATTATTTTAGACAAAGTACAGTAAAATATTTACAATAATACTTTGTCTTCTTTTTGTCGAATAGCCTAAAAAAAGATTTACAAAGAAAATAAATGCATGACTTGTTTCTTGACATGTACAGAAATAATAATAAAATTTCCATAAAGCTTTGCTTATTTTTTTGTTGACACACATGAAAATAATCGTCAGGTTGTGAAAAAGCACTGCATACTTATCAGACAATTGCTGGTATAAATATCCTTTTCATCTAAAATGTGTGAAAGCGAGAAAAAAAGAAAGAAAAAAATGTCATTATGGATTTCAATTAAGTGATCCCTGGACAGAAAGGGATGTGTCTGGGCGGGGAAATGAATGTGCTGCGGACAAATGTTAAATAATAATGGCTGGGATGGTCCTGCCGAGAAACACACATTCCATCTCCCGACTGCAGCCGTGGGAGCATGCAGGCATGGCACGACACTGACAAAATATGGAGGCTCACATCCACAGGCACTTTTGTATTATCACTCATACACTGACACACGCAGCAATGATAAGGAAGACACACACAGCGCAGGGCAAAGCGAGACTCTCACACAATCTGCTGCTATCACCTCTGTTGTGTGTGTCTTCATGACCAGTGCTGGCCACAGCACATATGGCCCTCATTTAGGAACAATGTGCATGGAGAATGACTGACTGGAGGAGCTGGGGTAAGACAGGCTTAATGCTGCCAGTATAAGAGAGACAGAAAAGGCAGATAACAGGTGGTTTAAACTTGAATTACTGAACAGAGTGTAAACAACGTGTCCTTATGAAGTGCTTTCACTCTCTCTTTTTGAGTCAACGGCTCATGGACACACATCAGGTAACACCTAATCAGTGCTGTGGCAGGACGAATAGCTCCCAGACATCCTCACTGTTGTTTCAGGAGAAAACATTCCCAAAAATCTCTCTCCCCCTCTCGCACACACATACGTTTTTCATACCCTCTTGTCACAGCAACATCTCTCCAGTAATTACCAGGGTGGCCATCCTCCTATCTGCCTTCGATGGATGGACTGAGGAACCACAGGTTCGACCCTGCAGCCATAACTCTAGACCTGGGACGTCTTCCTACTGCTTTTCACCACCTCAGACAGCAAATTGGCCTCAAAAAAAGAACAGAACAAGAAAAAACATCTCAAACAAGCTTACTCTCTGGCTAATAGAGAACCAGACCGCTGATACACAGACATGAAAAAGCGTTGAAGCAGACACACACTCATTCACTTTCACTATTTGTCATTTCCTTGTCTCCAAGGAGTAATCTATAACACTGAGAATTCACTGACCAATGGCAAGACGGAAATCTTTCCTTGCCATCGAGGCACAAAATTGCGAGCGCGCGCACACACACACACACAGACACACACACACACACACTGCTGAGTTGATCATTTTGACAGGATACGACTGAAGAGAAGTGGAGTGAAGATGAGAGGAAGCAGGGAAGGCAGAGCAGGGAGACTTAAACTGATAACTGTTTGATGAAGGGTGATAATGTCAGGAAAGGAAGGAAATAGATGAAGGGATGGATGGAAAAGGTGAGGCAGCAGAATCAATACAAATCCACAATCTGCATCAAGAGAGTAGACAGCTTAATGCCTATTCTGGGATTTGGCTTCATTACTATTTTACTCTGTTCAGTCAAGAGAGGTACATCAACATATCTGGAAGTGCTATTATAGCTGGAAATAGTTGATCTGATCCTAGTTAAATATGTTTTTGTTTCTATTTGTTTATAGAAAATGTATTACTAGAATTATTATAATATGAATTATTATTATTACTATTATTATTACTATTATTATTATTATTATTATGTATGGCCAAATGAGATATTTTCTTTTTCTGATGCAGGTAAAAAGTAAAAATATAACTTCAAAATGTGTCAGAAAACATTATCAACAACACTACATATTAATGAAAGTACTGTTGTGTGATCTGTTAGGATTTTAGTGATTTAGCGTTTTTCATCTGGAGGAGAAAAATCCTTTCTCCGACAGGTTGTAAACGCATCTCCACGCGGGGCACAACTACGTTGTCAAGGAGACCACGAAACTGTAGACATTATGGCGGAGCTTGAAAATTTTAAAAGTGCCGAAGATGAGTTCAGAAAGAAATACTTCCAAAGAAACAGGTGAGTGTGAGGTATGTATGCCATGTGTATTTACCTGAGCTGCAGTAACACAAAAGTAAATAAATAACACTCTGGCAGAGTTTAGTGGTGAACCGTTGATAAATTGGAAAGTACGCCTCGTGCCCGTCTAGGTTCCGACGTTTGCTGTCGTTTTAACTAGCTACTGCCTTTTGTCCCTACGTAAAGTTTCTGCCTTCGCTTTCAAAAGTTTTAGATGTATGAAGGTGGAGGTGCGTTCAGGGAAAGCTGCTTCTGATGTTGCCACGTGACAAAAACATACAGGACTGTTAAACAAAGTTACTGAGACATAACCTACCAGGTTATTTTTAGTGTGTCTCTTTCTTCCAGGGAAGCCGAAGAGAACAGACAGAAGGAAAGCCGAGCAGCCACACGAATCCAGAGCTGGTTCCGAGCCTGCAAGGTGCGCGCTTATCTCAGGTACGAGTATGGTGGCCGTATATGTGGGGCGCCGACTGCCAAGGTACAGTCAAATAATTGAACGTTATGTTAGCCACATTTTGATTAAAAAGCTTTAAAATTCGTTAAAATCAAATTTAAATGAGATAATCCTAAAATTTAGGAGTCTGTTTGACATTTGTAAAGTTAACTTACCTTTAAAAAATGTAATCTGACTGAATATATGAAGTTAAAACCTACTGTCTTGAAACTGTTTACATGTTTGGCACATATATGATTTTAAATTATATACATTTAGGCTAACTTTGGAATTACATACATTTAGAGTGCAACGTTCTTGCTACAATGTTCAGAAATGAAAACATTTTTCCTTTGGTTTTTAGATTTAATTAACCTGTCAAATATAACACACACACACACACACACACACACACACATAGATAGATAGATAGATAGATAGATAGATAGATAGATAGATAGATAGATAGATAGATAGATAGATAGATAGATAGATAGATAGATGATAGATAGATAGATAATTATTATAATATTAAGTATAATAGAGAACAGACAGACACTCATGTGTGTGTTATTCTAAAAGTTCAATTTAGGTACACGTTTAAACATTTAGATACAACATGTAGTTTTCTAAACAAATGTGTTTGGGGATTGAGGTTTTTATTTGCTGAGCGCCATACAACTGTTTATATTAAAACACTAAATGTAACAGTAGCTTCACAAATGACACCCCATAAAATTTTAACTGCTGCTGTTTAGACATAGAGCAGGAACAAATAAATAAATATGTAAAAAGTGCGCCTCAGTGAGCCTTAGCAGGTTATTATTAAGGGGCTATAAAAAAACAGGCTGGACTCTGAGAGTTAATTTCTAAAGAACTGATATTGGCTCACTCCTATAATTATCTCACTTCCAGAGGTGTGCAAATGGCCTTAAGAAATAACTGTTACCTGGACTCTGAGCTCTTTTCACACAGAGAAATGTATGTCTCTGTCTTTGTGCCTCTACCAATACGGTGACCCAAGCACCATTCTGCAGGGTCAGCAGACAAACTTCCAGACAGTGGGTTAATTCAGATTACTTTAGTTAATTGATCAATGCGTTAAGTGGATAATTAGCAACAATTTTAGCTGCCTAAGTGCAACTGCAGGGTTGTGCTATCCCCACTATAAACATTGATTTTCTGGGCATATAAATGGCCTTTTGGAAATTGATGGCCTCATTGGAGGCTGAGAATCGCAGTGGACTTGCATTTAGAGTATGTTTGAAGATGAATACAAATGTGCAAAGCTGACTAAACGGGGTGAAAGGCTCTTCGGGTGTGATTGAAAAGCCTGAAAGAGCAAGGGGTTTCTATGTTCGTGAGCATTGGTGAGAGTCTACTTGAAAGTCTAATGTTTCGCTGACCTTTTAATTCATTTAGCAGGCACGGGTGTGCATAAAAATAAATCTTTTATTTTCTTTGCCAAGTGTCTCTTTGGACAGCGGCTATTGTAATGCCTTTTTGAATTGATTGGACTACATTTTATATTTTCTTTCATTATCTTGATCTGTTTTAAATCATAATTACAATTTTTACTGACGGCTTCTATTAGATTTAGCCTTGTTATGTTTGAGTGAATAATTCCTCATCACAAACATACAAACTAATTGTTAGTGATGTTTTGCAACCTTTTCATACTTTTGAATCATTTTACTTCAACCAGTATGTGCTAAAATGACCCTTTGCAGGGTCATTCAGACCCCCACCACCCTCTGTGGCCAAAATACCGCATTTGCAACTTCAGAGTACCGGTCTGTTGGACTTAGAAAATTATTAAGCTGACATACCTGGTGCTGCATATTTTAGATCATGAACACAGCTGATTTGTTTAATTTAGTGATGAATCACCTCCAGTGTTTACCCTAGAAATTTCTCCAGCCATGGTTGACCGTGGGGGGTTGATTGTTTGGGAGGGTGATTCTGTAGCCATAATGCTTGAATTCCATTCTTAGTGTTAGCCTATGTAAGGGAAACACTAGCTCCTGTAGACACTAAGGAAGGCTGAGGAGACATTTCAGCTTTCAGATGAACTCATTCACTGCCAGCTGTTTCCTGATCAATAAAGCCCTTCGCTGCCAGCATTTTTCTGCATTTTTACTGTTTTTTTAAGAGTCACAGAACGTTGTGCGCTAGGATGATGTCAACGCCAAAACTAGCAAAACAAAGAGCAGACTCACCTCCTACACCAGGAAGAATCCGCACCTTTCAAGCTTTATCCGTTCTTTCGTAATCCATTGTTGAATTGTAATCAGCAGAAGTTTTTCCGGTTTGCACCTCACTTTTTTTACAGCAGCAGCTCAAAACGATCTCCTAAAACATGTATTTTGTGCTTCCTGATCACATGCCGTGTGACGTACACGGATGAAGATCGGCTTTAGAGCTGGGATGTTTGTTCTCACGGTGCGGGGGCTTGTTCCGAAGCCCACACAGTAAAAAAAAAAAAAGACGACTAAAGGCATTGAACAGTTGGATTTAAAATGACGACTTTAGTCGTCAGTGGCAGTGAATGAGTTAAGGTGTTAAAAAGACAAACCCACAGTGAGGGGATACCTTTTGCATTTGGTTCTACTAAATGAACACTAGGGGGTGCTAAAAGCAAGTCAAATCTGCCTAGTCTCCCTTTTAAACTGATAAAATTGTGATTTAAATTTCCCCCTGCATGTATCAGAACACCTTTTCAATGTATCATGTGTTTGAACTGTTAAAAACACCCTCCCAACTCTCAGCTAAATGGGATTTTCCTGCAGCTATCTGCGCAAGAAGGCAGTCATTATACAGAAGGTGTGGCGGGGCTTCGCAGCAAGGGCACGAGTCAGACAAATGGTGAAGGTAAGTCAGCCTAGAAAAGCTGCAGATATATTGATTGTGTTATGATAGCATGCATTAGAATTCAATTGCCACATTTCTAAATCCCTGCCTCTGACCTTAAGAAATATAATTCACTCATTACACATTTGAAAATTAACACTTAGCAAATACGATAAAATATGATAAGGAATTTTGTCCATGTTGCAATTCCAGAGATCCATTTTTATGGAGTATAGTACGAAACAGAAATAAGAGTTGTGTATGTGTGTGCTTCAGTAAAACAAGGCCCCATTTCAGCATATTGCCTCCAACTGCTTCTTAATTGAACAGATTGCTGATACCGGATCCAATACCCAGCGCTCTCACATATAATTTTCCCCTGGATTGAGTTTCGTAAACGTATCAAAACAAGCTATTTATCATGCCTGGAAATTGACTGTTTGCAAAAGCATAACTGCCAGCCATCGTTTGGGAGGCGTTCAAGAAATGAAAAGGGGGGTGAGGGGGTGTTAAAATAAACAATGAAGAATGTGTCCCAACACACATATGGGCTAATACAAGGCTGTTTTGTCCTATTTAGAAACAGATGAGTGCTAATTTGAATCACTCATATTTGCCACAGTGCACTATTTTGAATTAGGCCTGGGGTATTCCAGCTTCCCCTGCTCTATTGCTCTCCGTCTGTCGTCTTCTGTCTCGTGGACATAATCGTGCGTAATGTGACTTGCAAAAGGCTTCTTCACAAAACATCAAGCTGAATTTACAATCTCCTTTCAAGTCTTTGTCATTATTCCCCTTCATGCCTTTCCTGTCTTACTTTCCTGTCTTTTTCAATAAAGACGTGTTGAAATATGAATCTCTGTTATGGCCAACACTCCAGTTTGCTTCTGAAATGTGCCCCCAGTGGTTGGATGGCACGTGTTGTCTGTGTGACGGCTTGTTGAGTGTGTCGCTGAATATTCTCTGGCTCTTTGTTAGTGTCTTTTGTGGTAGGGCTGTCATTGATTATGAAATCCAGAGGAGAGCGTTTGGCCGTCATACATCTCCATTAGTGCGCTGCTTGACTACCATAGATTTTCTTGGCCCTTGTCTGTGTTTAGTGTATTAAGAGACTACCATCCTCCCCTTGATACAAAGTCCCAGCAACCTCTTTCACTCTTACTCTTTTCTTTTCTCTCTCCATCCCACAGACATCCTCTCTTTCCTCTCTCTTGTTTCTCCTTTTTCTGCTTCTACACACCCCTGCCTCCCCTCCCCTTTAATATGGCCCTATCTGTGCTGTCTCTGTGCAATGTATTATGTATAAAGAGCTCTTTATCTTTGATGCCTGCTGTGGACAGATCAGAGGGCTGGGAGACAAGATGTAACGGCATCTTTTCCTTTGTGTTCACAGGCGGCATATTTTATCATGAAGATGAATTTCTACGAGGAGATGGCGGTCAGGGTAAATATCACCACAGTGCCTTGTATTAGCAAATGGAGTGTCTTAGTGGGGGAACACTCTGTTGCTCTGTGTGTGCTGTAAAGGGGTAACCCCATAACAGCAGCCTTTAAAGCACCTTATTGTACCATTTTATTCCAAAAACGGTCCATCCTCAATATGTATTTTTGTTAATTCTTCCCTTTTAATGTCTCTGTGTAATTTTATTTATGCTATGTGTATTAATAATTAGACGATTGGGGGACTTGTGGTGACATTAGTGGGGAGCTTAAGTCACGCCCATCTACTTTTGGTCACTGGGTCCCTACTGCCCAGAAAAAAATGAGTCTATGGAGCGATGAAAGTTATTTTCTTGTCCCGTTTCATATGTGCCATGGATTTCAAAGATGATGTCCGTTAATTTTGAAGAAGCATTTAGATGCCAAGAAAGTGCATTTTTATTTTATTTTTATTTTTTTGTTGACAGGCAGCAAAAGTAATTGTAGGTGCAGAGCCATATATGGACCACATTGAAACAAACAAAATAGTTTGTCAATTCAATTGAATGGTAAATGGCCTGTATTTGATATAGCACCTTCTAGAGTCAAATAAACCCCCCAAGGCCCTTTATAACACAACCAGTCATTCACCCATTCACACACACATCCACATGCTGGTGGGTATGTGCTACGATGTAGCCACAGCTGCCCTGGGGTGCACTGACAGAGGCTAGGCTAGCCGAACACTGGCGCCACCAGTCCCTCTGATCACCACCAGCAGGCAAGGTGAGTTAAGTGTCTTGCCCAAGGACAAAATGACGGCAGCAAAATAAGCGGGGCTCGAACCTGCAACCTTCCGATTATAGGGTAAGCACTTAACTCCTGTGCCACCATCACCCCATTGAAGTACAAAATATGTGTGATTCATTGCGTAAGGAAAGGAGAACTAGATAATAACTTTTATAACCCCATTTATTTACATTCTTTTTTTTTTCTTTTGGTGAAGTAGACCCATGAGCCAACTGAAAGGAGAGGAAACTAAAGCTCCCAATAAGCCCATGTCCACAACTGGAACTTCAGAGTTATTTTACCAGACATGCATGGTACTGCTGGGTTTCACGTGACATTGCTTCTACGTCACCAAATGCAGATGTGGGTCTGGAAGTAGCCGGCGCTGCACAAAACCCTATTTACTAAAATGCTGAAATTCTATTTTATTTATTTATTTCATTAATTCTAACATTATTTCAAAAAGAAAGCACTGCTTCCAATTTTAAACTACACTTAGACACAGAGGGCTGGGGGGGGGGGGGGGGGGGGGGGCATCAGCTGGCGTAGGCCAGATGACGTCTGCACTGCCCGCTCACCACAGCCACGAATACACCTCATCAACACACACCAACACTGTATTAGAGCAGGCGGAGGGAGACTGGGGTCTTAGCACACCTCTGTTGTCACTTGGCTTCCCGGGGCTGGAGGCTAGGAGGGGGATCTGGCTGGGGTCCACATTGTCATTGTCTTGAGATGTGGTCAGTGATCACACAGACAATGTTTGATATATATCTGATCATGCGCATGGGAGTTATTACGTCAAGTAATGTAATGGCGAAAGGTCAAAGTTTGAGGCTTAGCCACACCCACACCTTTCAAGTTATTTAAAATTCGACAGTTGAATTTTTTCCCCTATGTCTTAAAGGTATATAGCATAAGTTTGAAGGTGAATGGTGAAAAGGGCGATGGGGCATCACTCCCCAAACGACTTGTGCGAAAACCACTAAATCGAGTACTTGGACCAAAATGGCCGACCTCCTGTGCGACTTTGCGCTTCGCTACAGGATACTTTTTTGTAGGTCCTGAGACACTACATTAGTGTACCAAATTTCGTGATCCTCAGTCAAAGCTTGGCTTGAGGCTGACAGTTTTAATGGTCCTAGGGGGCGCTATTTGAGAAAATAGGCCACACTCACCAACTTCTCCTGTCCATTTCTATTGGGGGACAGACTAGGATCACTCACCAGAAATTCATGGCGATATCACGATAACCGAGGAAATGAGAGGCAAACGTATTTCCATGGCGTGATGGTGAATTTCGCCATGCTCCCAAAGCCCTGCTTTTTTTTAACCCTGCCAATACAGGACACCAAGTGACCCCAACTTGTCTACTACCATTTGCCAGAGATTGCTGGTGATTAGGTGAAAGGAGTCCAATAGGGAGCTGTGAAAAAGAGTAGCGTGGAAACAGGTCAAAGTTTGAGGCTTAGCCACGCCCACACCTTTATACTTACTTAAAATCTAACGGTTGAATTTTCTCCCCTATGTCTTAAGAGTATATAGCAGAAGTTTGAAGGTGATCGGTGAAAAGGGCGACGGGGCATCATTCTCCAAACAACATGTGCGAAAATCACCAAATCGAGTACTTGGACCAAAATTGCTGACCTCCTGTGCGACTTTGCGCTTGACTCCAAGAGACTTTTTTGTAGGTCCTGAGACACTACATTAGTGTACCAAATTTCGTAATCCCCAGTCAAAGCATGGCTTGAGGCTGACAGTTTTAATGGTCCTAGGGGCCGCTATTTCAGAACATAGGCCACACCCACCAGATTTTCACATCAGATGTTTTGGGGGGCTGGACTAGGATCACTCACCACAAGTTTAGTGGTGATATCTTTAGAAATGACGAAATGGGAGGCAAACGTATTTCCACGGTAGTATGCCTGACTTCGCCGCACCCCCACAGCCTCGCCCTCTTTTGAAAACTCCCTTAAAGTGACGCCAAGCAACCCCCACTTGTCTTGAGTTACCAGCTACAAATTTATGGTGATTAAGTGAAATGGGGCGATCTGGGACCTATCACAGTAAAACTTGAGCTTTTTGGTCCTGAGGGGGCAGGGCTTATGTGATGTTATCATCCCACCATTCAGTTTAGTTTGTTAGTGGATGACAGGGGTGGACTGGCATATGTGGCATTCTGGCACTGTCCCGGTAGGCTGCTTGGGCAAGTGGGCCGCTAGCCCAGCTTGGGCTGACTCAATTGAATGTTAAATGAAACCCGCACCTTTGCGCTCCGATGTTACGTCAATATTCCAGTCAGTTCTGTTATTGAAACCCGTTCCTCCATCGCTCCGCACTGCCCAAGCGACAAAAACGCTTGCGCTGGCATGCTCATTACCAGTGTTGGGAGTAACGCCGTTTAAGTATAACGGCGTTTCTAACGGCGTTCTTTTATAGGTAACGGAATAATCTAATTAATTACTTTTCCCGCCGTTGCAACGCCGTTACCGTTACTGGGGACGGAACGTTGTGCGTTCCTATGTGCTTGTCGAACGTTGAGCAACAGTGTGAGGCTTTCTGACCGCCACACTTCAGCTGCAGCCAGGGAGAGAGAGGTGTCGGTAACGCACTTACAAATACCATGATGATTGGCCGGGTGGGCGGAGACCCTCACGGTCTCTGTCGCTGCATGCTGTAGACACAACGGGAATAACTCCGTTTAAAATAACCGCGTTAATAAAAAACATTTCTTTCTGTAACGAGCAAACTAATTAATTACGTCTTCTTTTATCAAAACGTCGTTTCTGTTACTGATAAGAAAATGCATGCGTTAAGCAGTGCGGTGTGTTGAAGCTGTCATCATCAGCTGATCAGGAGCTAAAGAGGTAGATGTTTTCATCCAAGTGCGTCACGGCGCGTGAAGAACGAGGAAGACGTGATGAATAGTCTACGGCTACAGACCCGCAAATTCGCTGCTGCAGATTCCCACCTGCAGCAGCGAATTTGCGGGTCTGTAGCCGTGCCCTTCTTAGCGTGACAGCGGGACGTCCCGAAGGTCCGCTCACCTGTTCACCGCTCAGACGTCCTGATCTTCTGCCTTCCTAGATCATCCAGCTGTAACCTGTTTCTGATCATGTCTTTAGTCCCGCTGTAACACTGATGCATCAGTCTCAGATGGCATGGAGCTCAGGTGTTATCAGAACTACCTGTGTGTGTTCACCACCCAGCTTCAGCTCTTCTGTGGTTGGGTCTGACCCAAGTTAGTACATTTAAGTCCTCCATCAGGCTTGTGCCTCTTCTAGTGTCATTTTAAAGGATATTTATTTATTTATTTAACCGTTACTAGATTACCAGCAACAGAAATGCTAGTAAAAACACACAATTATGTGAAGCTGGAAAAATTAGAATACTGTGCAAAATTACATTTATTTCTGTAATTTAACTAGACTGAGATTTAAAGGCTCGGGAACCTTTACAGGTGTTTCTATTTGCAATTTTAGCTGATTGGGTTTTTGTTAAATATCACACAGTGACCTTTTAATAGTCTAGATAAGTGTAATGTTCCTAGTAGTTCCTCCTGTTAAGTGCTTATTTATTTAAATTATTCAGGTTTATATAAAACATTTGGACATACATTTTATTATGTTCAGTCATTAGTCATTTATATTTCACTATTGTAGTAATTCTTGCATTCTTTAATGAAAAAAGTAACTAAGTAGTTACTTTTGTTGGTAATTAGTTACTTTTATGATCTTGTAACTCAGTTAGTAACTGAGTTACTTTTTTGACAAAGTAATCAGTAACTATAACTAATTACTTTTTTAAAGTAACGTTCCCAACACTGCTCATTACAAGCTCGTGCCTGCGATGCGCTCTGCTTTTGGTTTTAGATAAGCCAAAGATCTAAGTTGTGTGTTTATTTATGAAAACTTTGTAGAATCTAGTTTAACTGAGCGCCAACGGAGCAAGGTCTGGTGTCACGTTAAAATTAACGTGATGAGCAGCTCCTGTCTGGAGACGGCGGGCGGAACCAGTACCCAACTAGGGAAATGCCCAGTGGACCGATCTGAGGTTGCCTGTGTTGTCTTTTTGTTTTTGTGTTTTTCTCCCCCACAGCTCAGCTCTGTTAGAAATAAGCAGATGTTTGCTTCAGCTGGATTATATCAAGTATAAAAAAGTGTTCACAGACAACTGATCTTTTAATGAAGAAACAATGTTAACCATGTTTTATTTTAATGTTGATTTCATTAATTT